CATTATCACCTTCAGGTCAAAAACCATTAAGCACCGTCTGCCCAATGCTTGTCATGTGCGCAGAGCTCCTCTGTCAGAGATGTCTGGTGTCTGGAGCTTACACTCTTTTTTTTTTTTTTTGAGATGGAGTTTCGCTCTTGTTACCCAGGCTGGAGTGCAATGGCGCGATCTCGGCTCACCGCAACCTCCACCTCCTGGGTTCAGGCAATTCTCCTGCCTCAGCCTCCCCAGTAACTGGGACTACAGGCGCGCACCACCATGCCCAGCTAATTTTTATATTTTTAGTAAAGACGGGGTTTCACCATGATGACCAGGATGGTCTCCATCTCTTGACCTCGTGATCCACCTGCCTCGGCCTCCCAAAGTGCTGGGATTATAGGCGTGAGCCACCGTGCCCGGCCTGAGCTTACACTCTTAACAGCCCTGCTCTGCATGTGAATCCACAGGGCACAGACAGGCAAAGAAACAGCATGGGTCACTTCATAGCTGGGAAGATCCTGGCTAGAGACGGGGTGACCTGCCCAGTATCACACAGTGCCCGATTTAGGATCAGACACTGGCAGACCTGGCTTTGCCCATGAAGGTGTATCACATGCATAAATAGCTACAAGGAAACAGCCCATGGAAGACTTCCCCTGGGCTGCATGATTCTAGAACACTGGGACAAAGGAGTGTGGCACCAGCCAAGCCTGGTTGTGCTGAGCAACAAGCATCTCTCAGTTACAGGGCCTTCCACTGCCACCATAGCCACACTTTTTTTTTTTTGAGACAGAGTCTTGCTCTGTTGCCCAGGCTGGAGTGCAGGCTCACTGCAACCTCCACCTCCCTGGTTCAAGCAATTCTGCCTCAGCCTCCTGAGTAGGGATAACAGGTGTATTTGTTGTATTTTTAGTAGAGACGGGGTTTCACCATGTTGGTCAGGCTGGTCTCGAACTGCTGACCTCGTGATCTGCCCAACTCGGCCTCCCAAAGTGCTGGGATTACAGGTGTGAGCCACCTCGTCCAGCCAGCTGTACTTCTTATCCATGCTGCAGGTCTGCCTGATGGAGCAGGCTTGCCTGGGACACTGCCAACTGCCGTGGCAGAGCGGGGACAGTCCCTCTGCCGGACTACAAAATGCTCCAGCTCTGAAGTGGTCCGCATCACTTCCGCTTAGGGCTGGTCACATCACCACCCCAATTACATGAGGGCCAGGAAAAGCATCACGATTCTTGGGGGGCTCACCTCCAGTCTGTGCCAGCTGCATCCCCGGCAGAGGCTCCTGTACCCCAGCAGCCTTCCCACTCCTCCCGGCATTTCTGAGGCTACTTCCTACTTTACCACTGGACAGTCCTGGAGTTGGGGACCAAGGTCCCCCTGCTGGAGCGCTGTGTCCCTCCACTCGTCTCAGCAGAGGGGCCTAGACCAGCAGTCCATGCTCCCTATGGAAAGCAGCTACAAGGAACTGCCGTGGTGTCAGCTTGGCTCACTGCCACCTCTGCCTTTTCCTCTCTCTTATCGTTTTCTTTCTCCTTCCCCCCTTCTCCCTCCCTCCCTTCCTTCTCTCGCCTTCCCTTTCCTTTCTTCCCTACTTCCCTCTTTTCCTTCCTTATTAAAAAATGTAGCCAGGTGTGGCGGCACATGTCCGTAGTCCCAACTACTCTAGAGGCTCAGATGGGAGGATCACTTGAGTCTGGGAGGTTGAGGGCTGCACTGCAGCCTGCGTAATAGAGCGAGACACTGTCCCTACTGGGAAAAAAAAAATTGTCCTGTAGTTAAGACTTCTGGATCTATACCCAAAAGAACTGAAGGCAGGATCTCAAAGAGGGATTTTTTTTTTTTGAGACCGAGTTTCGCTCGTTACCCAGGCTGGAGTGCAATGGCGCGATCTCGGCTCACCGCAACCTCCGCCTCCTGGGTTCAGGCAATTCTCCTGCCTCAGCCTCCTGAGTAGCTGGGACTACAGGCACGTGTCACCGTGCCCAGTTAAATTTTTGTATTTTTTGTAGAGATGGGGTTTCACCTCATTGACCAGGATGGTCTCTATCTCTTGACCTCGTGATCCACCTGCCTCGGCCTCCCAAAGTGCTGGGAGCCACCGTGCGGGGCCCAGAAGTCTTAATTATGGACCAACTTTTTTCTTTCGGCGGTGGGGGGAGAGCGGGGGGCAGGGTCTTGTTCTGTTGGCCAGGCTGCAGTGCAGTGGCATGATCATGGCTCACTGTGGCGTCAACCTCCCAGACTCAAGTGATCCCCCGACCTCAGCCTCCACAGTAGTTGGGACTACAGGCATATGCCACCACATCCGGCTAATTTTTAAAATACTGTTTATAGAAAGGGTTTCACCCTGTTGCCCAGGCTGGTTTCCAAGTCCTGAGTTCAAGTGATCCACCCACATTGCCCTCTCAAAGTGCTAGGTTTACAGGTGTAAGTCATCGTGCCTAGCTGTAAGCTACCACTTTTTTTTTTTTTTTTTTGAGACGGAGTCTTCCTCTGTTGCTGAGGCTGGACTGCAGGGGCGTGATCTTAGCTCAATGCCACCTCTGCCTCTCGGGTTCAAGCGATTCTCCTGCCTTAGCCTCCTGAGTAGCTGGGATTACAGGCACAAGCTACCACTCCTGGCTAATTTTTGTAATTTTAGTAGAGATGGAGTTTCACCTTGTTGGTCGGGCTGGTCTTGAACTCCTGACCTAGTGATCCACCTGCCTCGGCCTCTGAAAGTGCTGGGATTACAGGTGTGAACCATAAGCTATTACTTTCATGGTCAAATGGAAAATGACAAATGGGCCCATGGTTTTTGAGGGCACCCCTTTGGCACACCATGCTTCCTAGTCTCTCTCTCCTTCTGGAGGGGCTTTGGCTGTGGGCATCTCCACCTTTAGGCCTCCCCCTCTTCCTCTCCCCAGGGCCGGCACATGCAGAGAACACGTTTGCCCCCACCTCATGATTCCTGGGCCACAGCCCACCCAGCAGCACCTCCCTGAAACAGAGCTAGTCCTTCTGGTGATGAATACCATGTGGCGCAAAGTGGGTGCTTGAGAGGGCACCCAGGGTGGGCATCAGCACTGCAATTCACGCGCCTCTGAGATCTCCTGCCAGGGCTTAGCCGCTGTGTCATGTGCATCTGCAAACGCATCCACACACACACACACACATCCACACACACACCCCCAAACAAATCCGAGCTCTCAGCTGGGTGCAGTCAGGGTCACTGGGAAGCCTACTGTGACCCACCACCCCTAAGTGCCACCTCCCCCCCAGACCCTGTCACAGTGGGGGTGAGGCTCACAGGTCCCAGCAGGCCCACGGACCCCAAGGCAGGGCTGAAATGCAGATTCAGGGTCAGCAGATGGGGCCTGGCCCAGAGATGGTGCATTTGAGAGGTAAGGGGTAGAGTATTCATGACATTCCTGTGCAGAATTTATAGAAAACACACAAAAGTTGGAAACAATAAAGCAGTTTCTAGAACCCATGGCCCCCCACGTCTCTTCCCTGAGTCACTCTAGTCCTTAAATGATAAAGAAGGGCCGGGCACAGTGGCTCATGCCTGTAATCTCAGCACTATGGGAGGCTGAAGCTAGTGGATCACCTGAGGTCAGGAGTTTGGGACCAGCCTGGCCAACACGGTAAAACCCCATGTCTTCTAAAAATACAAAAATTAGCTGGGCATGGTGGCACATGCCTGTAGTCCCAGCTACTTGGGAGGCTGAGGCAGGAGAATCGCTTGAACCCAGGAGGCAGAGGTTGAGTGAGGCAAGATTGCACCACTGCACTCCGCCTGGGTGACAGAGTGAGACTCTGTCTCAAAAAAAAGAAAAAGAAAAAAAAGATAAACTGGACTTGGTATAATCCCAGTATTTTGGGAGGCTTTGGGCTCAAGAAAGAGATCTCTTGAGCCCAGGAGTTTGTGTCCAGCCTGGGCAACATAGGTTCTCAGACGAGGTTCTGGCTTCCCACTGGATGCCCACCTGACCCCTAGGCCCAGCGCCTGAGGCTGCTCTTGCTCCCCTGAGCCTTGCCTGGGGCAGAGTACTGGTTCCCAGAGTAGCTTCAGCGAGCTCCACGGGGTTGGAAGGCACCCATATCACAGACCACAAAACCGAGGCTCAGCAGAGTCAGAAAGCTGGAGCTCCCCCTGCTCCCACCTCTACACACCCCCATCCTGAGCAGAAGCAGGGGTGCCTGGACTGCTTCTCCCACCAGAGGGGAAAACTCCTCCATCCAAAAGGCTTTGCCAGTAGACAGCCTGGGCCAGCTCCAGCTGTGACTCAGGGGTCAGGTGATGTCCCCCTGCCCTGGGCCTGTCCTTCATTTGCTCAGCATTCCTTCTCCACCCCAAGAGAAAATGAATGCCACGAGAGGCAGGCACTCGGGAGGGTGAATGGCGTGTGGAAAGGTGACTGCCATTAGAGACCCCCTCACCCACTCCACACGGAGACACACTGACCTGATGCTTTTACAAAGTGGGGTGGCCAGGGAAGCCTGCCCCAGGCTCAGCTCCTCCCTGAAAGTTGGGGCACCTGCGGTGCTGAGCTAGCCTCTGGCTCTCAGAAACACTTGAGTCCCACTGATGGGGGCGGGGACAGGGAGCAGGCCCTGCCTGCTGTGGCTGAGGGGGTACCCTGACCACCTGAGGCTTGGGGAAAGCCTGTCTCAGGTTGTGAGGCTGCAGGGGTGGCAAGAGCAGGTGTTCATTTATCCTTCCCAGGCCAGGTGGCCTCCAGCAGGTCACCCCAACTCCCGCCCCGGCTGCCTGGGCGCTTCTGTAGCACGGGAGGGGCTAGCAGATCCCCCCTCCCTCCTCCCCCAACCCCCAACAGGGGCAAAGTCAGGCCAGCCCCACTCCCTGACATCCCAGCTCTTCCTTCCATAATCTCTCGGGCCTCCCACCGTGTAGCAGAAGGGAGGTCTGGACAACAGGCACAGGTCTGCCCCCTCAGGAACCTGGGCTCCCTAGGAGGGAGCAAAGCCTGAGGGTGAACACCCTGAACGGGTGTCTCCAGGGCAGGCACCGCAGACACTAGCGAGTCACAGGTTTTATTCCGCCCCTTTCCATCCCCATGGTTACCCTAGGCAGGAGAAGACAGGTGTGCTGGAGTCTGGTCACGCCGGGGTCCAGGTTCCCTCGTGGGTAGAGCCCACTGAATTCAGTCTCCATGGGTGGGTGTGGACACCAGAGGGCCAGGGCAGGGGGAGCACAGGAGTGAGGGCTGACCCCATCCCGGACCTGGGTTCCCAGGTAACAGTGACTCATGTGCCTGACACAGACCTGGGCCGCGCAAGGGAGGCTGATGGTATTTCCAGTAAAGACAGGAACACAAAGTCACCAAGGCCAGGCTGACAGCGCTGGAGGGGCGGGATAGAGTAAAAAAGTCTCACGCGCACACACACGCCACATGGACGCCCCACACACGGGGCCATGTCAGTAAAAACTCAAGGCCAGCCGTGAGGCCTCACACGACGCTCTGCCGGCCCCCAGGCCCCCCCAAGCCAGACGTGGCAGACCCCCGGCCTCGGCCAAAGTCAATAAAAATTCCTTCCGAATCCGAGTCTACAGACTCCAGGATCTGGTCTACCAGGTTCTCGGGGCTGGAGCCGGGCAGCGAGCTTCGGGTGGGATCCGGGCCCTGCTCGGGGGGCTGGGTCGTGGGGTGCAGTCTGCTGGGGCAAGGCCCTGAGTGGGGCACCGGGGAGGACCTGCAGGCTCCGGCGGGGCCCTGGCCGGGCAGGTCGGAGAAGCCCTGGGGCTCGGGGCAGGACGTCATCTCGGACACCGAGTGCCTGCGGATGCTGGTGCCGCCGGCCGCCGCGCCCTCTGCCTCGTGCTCCTGCACGGGGTTCAGCAGCGGTGTGTTGTAGCTCTTGGAACGCACCACCGGGTTCTTGGCCAGCACGTCCCCTGAGCGGGAGCGGCGCAGCAGGTGCTTTTCTGGGGAGAGACGTGGGCACCGTCACACACCAGAGGCCACCTGAATGTCCCCGCCTGGCTGAGCACCTGCTGCCTGCTGTGCACTTTGTCCTCCGGCAGGGGCAGCTTCCAGGAAAGTCCGACCCACACTGCTTCCTGGGTGGGGGCCCAGCCCAGCAGGCCACCCGCCGCCAATCACCCTGACACTAACTCAGGTTCCAGTCTCTCTTCTCCATCCAGCCCCAGCCCTGATCACGCAGGATCTCAAGTCAAATGCCTGGGTTTCAACCTGTACCCTGCCAGCGACCTGTGTTTGACCCTGGGTAAGTTATGTAACCCCATGCCTCAGTTTCCCCACTGGTGGAAGTGGACAGACCTTGGCACCTACGGGACGCCTGCACTTCCCCAGGCTGGCGCAGCCCCTGCCCCATTAGAGCTGGTGTCCAAGGGGTTGGGGGAGTCAAAAAGCCCATCATAGGAGAGCCATGCAGCCGGGTCATGGGGCTGTGATGGGGGCAGATGGGGACAGGTCCTCAACAAGGTCAAGATGGGGAATTCCATCCTGGGGATGCAGGGAACCTGTGCCCGGGCAGTAGTAAACAGGCCTCACTGGCTGTGGTATGGAGAGGAATAGACTTCGGGGGACACAGGCAGACATGGGGACCTGGAGAGGAGGCCACTTGGACCATGTGGGCAGGAGGCAGTGGCACTGGTGGCCCAGGCTGGGTCGGGGGTAGGGTTAAGGCTCCCATTCAGGATTCTGCAGTTCCAAGAGTGGCCACCAGGTGGCAGGCGGCACACACGAGCAGCTCAGGGGCCTTTCCCGAATGAGGGCACTGAGTCTGGTGCCTCAGAGTTCTTCAGCGGCCAGGGCACTGTCTGAGCTGAGACATAACTGGTGGGTGGGTTTTACACCAGCAGGTGGGTAGGGGGAGTCCCTCCGGATGAGGGGGCCTAGTCCCAAGTGGGCCTTGCACCAGCTCTGTCCCCTCTGCCTGGGAGGCTACCGTGAGTGTGGAGGGGACTCACTGGTCAGCCTCCCCTCCTGGATGGGGAGATGTGACCCCAGGCTGGTGCGGAGCAGGTAATGAAGGGACATTGCTGCAGGAACCCAGAGGCCCTGTCAAGGGAGCAACGTGACCAGCTGTGCTGGAGTGGCAGCCTCTGGATGCGGCCCACAGGGCTCAGCCCACCCACCCCGCAGGCCGAGTCCCCCCCAGCCTGGGTTCCCTAATGCCCACCCCCCCAGGCCGAGTCCCCCCCAGCCTGGGTTCCCTAATGCCCACCCCCCAGGCCGAGTCCCCCCCAGCCTGGGTTTGCTAATGCCCACCCCCCAGGCCGAGACCCCCCCAGCCTGGGTTCCCTAATGCCCACCCCCCAGGCCGAGTCCCCCCCAGCCTGGGTTCCCTAATGCCCACCCCCCAGGCCGAGTCCCCCCCAGCCTGGGTTCGCTAATGCCCACCCCCCAGGCCGAGACCCCCCCAGCCTGGGTTCCCTAATGCCCACCCCCCAGGCCAAGTCCCCCCCAGCCTGGGTTCCCTAATGCCCACCCCCCAGGCCGAGTCCCCCCCAGCCTGGGTTCCCTAATGCCCACCCCCAGGCCGAGTCCCTCCCAGCCTGGGTTCCCTAATGCCCACCCCCCAGGCCGAGTCCCCCACAGCCTGGGTTCCCTAATGGAGCCAGGAGTCCTCAGGCACTCTGCCTGGCCGACTTCTGACTTTCAAGTCTGCACACGATGTGGCGTCCTAGGGGATGCAGAGGCCTGGTGGGGCTCTCTGAGGTGTGGTCACATCACCGCCCACTGTCACGGGTCCCCCACACCTAGGCCCACACATGGCAGACTGGGGGCTGCCGCGGCTAAGAACCAGTCTGGAGTGAGACCCTGGTTGCACCGCAGCCCAGCCGTGGGGCTCCAGTCTGTCCATCTGTTCACAATGGACCGGGTCCGTGGTCACCCCCACCCCAGCCCAAGGCCCAGGTGGACCCCTACCCAGGATGCAGGAGTGGGTGAAGGGCCCCTCGCTGGAGTGGAGGCCATAGGTGCCCAGGTATGGCGATACCACCTTCTGGACCAGTGTCTCCAGGCGCAGGTAGTCCTCGGTCACTCCCCTGGACTCGTGCACCCCCTGCAGGAGAGTGGGGTGGGGGGTGATGCACCTGAGCCTGGTGGCCCAGGCTCTCAGCCATACGTCCCACCTACCAGACAGCCTGTCCTCTACCTCCCACGTCCCCTTGACCCCAGCACCCTGCCAAGGGCAGGAGAGAGCTTGCACTCACTAAGAGAGAATAAATGAGTGAATGAGCGAATAAATGAATGAATGAAGATGGCAGACCTCAAGAGGCTGTCGGGTGGTTCAGGGACAAGATTCTCCAGGCAGAATTGTTGTTTGAGACAGAGCCTCTGTATGTTGCCAGGCTGGTGTGCAGTGGCACAATATTGGCTCATTGCAAGATTGAGCCAAGGGGTTCAAGCAATTCTCCTGCCTCAGCCTCCCGAGTAGCTGGGAATACAGGTGCGTGCCACCACACCCAGCTAATTTTTTGTACTTTTAATAGAGATGGGGTTTCACCACGTTGGCCAGGATGGTCCTGATCTCTTGACCTCATGATCTGCCCGCCTCAGCCTCCCAGAGTGCTGGGATTACAGGCGTGAGCCACCGCGCCCAGCCACACCCAGGTAGAATTCTAAGTGACAGTCTGGCCAGCCAAAGGTTACTGATATGGGTGCGGGAGGCCACTCCAGGCAGGGAGGGAGGTCAGCAGAGTTGCCTGAACTTCTGGGTTGCACGGCTGGTACAGGCTCCTATGTCCTGGCCTGTGTTTCAATAGTCAGTGGGCGGGACTCCACAGGGGCCCTCAGTAAGGTCACCCACAATAACGCAGGGGACCCCACGTGTCCGTGGAATCGTCTGCCTATAGGAGCAGTGAGTTGGTTGTGAATGACCCTGTCCTCACCTGTCCTGCCAGGGAGGAGGTCTTCCTCTGGTACGCAGACTGGGAAACTGAAGCTGAGATAGCAGTCTCTCAAGGGTTCCCGCTTCAACCCAGCCAGGCCGGGCCTACACTCTTAACTCCCATAGGCAGGCAGGGGGGCTGTTCCGCCTCCCAGGGCAGTCCCCCTGCACAGATCCACATTGGCCACCCCTTCCTTGCTGTGGCTGCCGTGAGTGTCCTGAGTGTCCCCACAAACCCTAATTTTAAAAGATCTTCAAGGAGGCCAGGTGTGGTGGCTTACACCTGTAATCCCAGCACTTTGGGAGGCTGAGGCGGGCAGATCACCCGAGGTCGGGAGTTGGAGACCAGCCTGACCAACGTGGAGAAATCCCATCTCTGCTAAAAAAAAAAAAAAATACAAAATTAGCCAGGCACGGTGGCACATGCCTGTCGTCCCAGCTACTCGGGAGGCTGAGGCAGGAGAATTGCTTGAACCCGGGAGGCAGACATTGCAGTGAGCCGAGATCACGCCACTGCACTCCAGCCTGGGCAACAAGACAAAAAAAAAAAGATCTTCACAGGGATGCAGAACAACAAATAGGGCTTTGCATGTGCGAGAGCCAAGCTCCTGCCCTTGTTAGCTCCCAGCAAGCAAGGACTCAGTTCCCCCACCTGTAAAATCGGGTGGCCAGTGGTGCCTGCAGGGTCCTGCGACCGTGAGATGAGCCGGCCAACCGTGAAGCGTGGTGCTGGGGAAGGGCTGTGTGCGGAAACCCCCGGCTTGTGGTGGATGCCACTGGTGACCCCCACTCCCCGATATGGGGCAGGCACCCTCTCTCCACCTGCTGTAAGGGGGGCTAACAGCTCTCAGACTGTCTTCTACAGAGCGGGGCCCGCTGATGAATGCCCTCTGGACAGAAACGACAGGGCCACTGTATGTGCATGTGTGTAGTATGTGCCTGTGCATGTGTGTAGTGTCTGCATGTGTGTGTGTGCCTGTGTGCACAATGTGTGCATGTGCAGTGCATGCATGTGTAGTGTGCATGTGCGTGCTTGTGTACAGTGCATGTGTGCACACATGTATGTGTGTACTGTGTGGGTGCTGGGGCGGGCACAGCCCCAGGCTGGTTGACACAGGGTGTAAAGGTTCAGCTTTGTGACCAGGAGGAACAGGTCTGCAGCTTCTGCTCTCCTGAACCCACAGCTCCGACCAGCTGTTCCCATCCCTGGCCCTCACAGGCTTCTCTGATTGGACCCTTCCTTAAGTCTGTGCCCCTCAGTCCTTGTCTCATGCTCTGGTAGTGGGGAGCTGAGCCTGGTCCCCACCCCACAGTCCCCATGCCCAACCCTGTGCCCACCGCACCCACCTGCAGCACCAGCAGCATCTGCACGATGGCAGGGGGCACGCGGGCGTGGGCCCGGGCCAGTGCGTCCTCCAGCTTCACGCTGAGGGTGATGGCATTCCTGAAGTGCAGCAGGGCCAGCTGGCGTACTGACGGCTCCTTGCCCTGTGGACAGAAGGCACCCCACCCCACCCGCTGTGGGGACAGTTGTCCTCATCCCCCCTCTCCCAGCCCTGGGACCCCACAGGGGAAAGAGACCTGCTGGCTCTCAGGCCCCCTGACCCCGTTCTCCCCAGATGACCATGTCCCAAGGACAGTGGGTCGCTTCAGTTTCCTCTGGCAGGGAAGGGGTTACCGTCACAGAGCCCCTGCTCTGTGCCTGGCTGCTGGAGGATTCACAGGGAGGGAGACATCCATATCTGTAGCTTGTAGAGGTGGAAACAGGCTCTGAGCAACTAGGGTGGCCCACGGAGAGCAGCGCAGGGCAGAGCAGTGCAGGGCAGAGCAGCTCAGGGCAGAGGAGAGCAGCGCAGGGCAGAGGAGAGCAGCGCAGGGCAGAGGAGAGCAGCTCAGGGCAGAGCAGTGCAGTTCAGGGCAGAGCAGTGCAGGGGAGAGCAGCTCAGGGCAGAGCAGTGCAGGGCAGAGCAGCGCAGGGCAGAGCAACTCAGGGCAGAGCAGTTCAGGGCAGAGCAGTGCAGGGCAGAGCAGCTCAGCGCAGAGCAGCGCAGGGCAGAGGAGAGCAGGGCATAGGAGAGCAGCGCAGGGCATAGGAGAGCAGCGCAGGGCAGAGGAGAGCAGGGCAGCGAAGAGCAGCACGGGAGGGCAGCGGAGAGCAGCGCAGGGCAGAGCAGGGGAGAGCAGCTCAGGGGAGAGCTGCACAGGGCAGGGGAGAGCTGCACAGAGCAGAGGAGAGCAGCGCAGGGCAGAGCAGAGGAGAGCAGCGCAGGGCAGAGCAGAGGAGAGCAGTGCAGGGCAGAGTAGCGCAGGGGAGAACAGTGCAGGGCAGAGCAGCGCAGGGTAGAGCAGCACAGGGCCTAGTAGCACAGGGGAGAACAGCGCAGGGCAGAGCAGGTGTGTGCATCCCTGAGCCTGGCGGCCGTCCTCTTAGAGTGAGACCAGGGTGGGCACAGCAGGGGCACTGGGCTCCCTCCCCAGGCTGGGCCGCCCACCTGCACCGGGTAGAAGATGGCCTGCAGCATGGGTAGCACATCACTGAAGAAGAAGTCCCAAGTCTCTGCCAGCGAGTCCAGCAGCTTCTGTCCTGTGGGCATGGGGGCCATCACCACCGGGCCTGAACTGGCTCCGGCAGACGCCTCAACTCACCCAGGATGGGGTGTTAGAGGAAGCAGGAGCAGAGGGCCTGGCTCAGGCCCCTGGAAGCACCTGCCCGAGGTCGACATCCAGCTCCACAGCTCAGCAATTCTGCAGTCCTAAGCCCACTGCTTAACCTGTCTTCCCGTTTATAAAATGGGGAGGTAACGGGGTACCAGAACTGAGGGCATGAAATGAGACTAAGGCACAGAGGCCTTCGCTCGGAGGCTGCTCCTGGCAGTTCCCAGGCCTTTATCACATACCAGATCTGCACAAGTGAGAGCCACACAGGTACACCTGGTTCAGGTGAGACTCACACAGGGGAGACCCACACAGTTAAGACCCTCACAGGTACACCTGGCAAAGGTGAGATCTGCACAGGTGAGACCCACACAGGTAAGACCCTCACAGGTACACCTGGCACAGGTGAGACCTACACAGGTGAGACTCTCACAGGTATGCCCAGCAAAGGCAAGATCCGCACAGGTACCCCCGGCACTGGCGAGACCCGCACAGGTACCCCCGGCACTGGCGAGACCCGCACAGGTACACCTAGCACAGGTGAGACCCGTACAGGTTCACCTAGCACAGGTAAGACCCTCACAGGTACACCTGGCACAGGTGAGACCTACATAGGCGAGACTCTCACAGGTATGCCCAGCAAAAGCAAGATCCGCACAGGTATGCCCGGCACAGGCGAGACCTGCACAGGTACACCTAGCACAGGTGAGACCCGCACAGGTGCGCCTGGCAGGACATGTCCTAGTCTCATCAGATCCTCCTAACAACCTGGCTAAGCACTGGGTTCACCTATCCACTGGCTTCCTCCTTCCTTCCCCTGCCCTGCCTGTCCCTCCAACAAACATTCACAGAGCACTTACTCTGTGCCAGCCCTGATGCTGGGCACCAGGGACCCAAATGGCTGCCCATTCATCACATGGCAGGGAAGTGGGACATTGAACAGGATCATAAGGGCAGTGGCTAGGAGTGACCGACCCCCACTGAGCAGACAGAGGCTGAGCCTCCGAGAAAAGGGTGCACCACGGTCTGTGGCTGGGAGGACCAGCCCAGCTTAGGCTGGTTGTGGGGAGGTCTGGGGAGCCACGGAAACCACTTCCAATAGCAGCACCACTTCCAAGGGAGGAGAGGGTGCAGTGGGTCAGGCTGGGAGGGCTTCCTGCAAGAGGGCCTGCGTGACCCAAGCTGGCTACAGGAGCTGGGCTTGCCAAATTGAATGACGTGGGGACACATTGAGACAGGTGAACCTCTGAAGAAGGTATGTAGGTAGCAGACACTAGCACGAGCTCTGCTGGCCCTGGGAGGAATGGTGCCATCCACTGGGCGAGTGATCCTTGTGGGAGGGGGACAGCTCCTGCGCCGCCTCCAGTGGGAGGGGCAGATGCAGAACCCTTGGCCTTTCTGCCTGGACTGAGCGGAACTGGGATGACGGCTGCTGGGTCCAGGGATGCAGTCCCAGGACATGTCCCCAAGGCCTTTGCTGTTCCCCAGAAGCCAGATGAGCAACTGGCGAGAGAGAGCGCTTGGTGTGGGTACCTCTGAGTCACCGGCCATCTCTCAGGCTGCACCCCCAGCCAGAACTGCTTTGAGGTTTCCATGGGAACGCAGAAGCTGAACAGGGATCTTTGCCTCTTTTCCTCACTCTTTGGGCCCTGTCCCCACTCCTGAAAGCCCCCAGGTTCATGTAGGTTCCATGGCACTAGGAGCAGGACCCAGCCAGGGGCAGCCCCAGGGGCTAAGGGGGCTGGGGGCGAGTTGGACTGGGCCCCATCTTTGGCTCCCAGCCAGGTGGCCAGCCCTCTGCCCTGGGCAGCCCACACCTGGTCCGAGGGCGACGGGGGCCAGCAGGAATGCCAGGGATGGGTGGATGCTCACCGCCCCACTGATCTGTGCTCACACACAGTCCCTTCAGTTACCCTCCACCGCCGCGGCAGGAAGAAAGCCGGCTCAGTCCCCGGGCGGGCCTGGGGGTGGCTCTGGGCACTGGCCAGGCCCGCATTCTGCTGAGTCCAGGCTGTTCTCCAGCCCACGAGGCGGAAATGCTGCGGAAAGCTGATGTTGTAAAACAGAACCTCGGCCCCAGCCGGAGCCACACGGCGACGAGAGGCCAGGAAGGGCAGCCTCGTGGCTGGCGGGGACCATCAGTGAGAACCCCAGGGTGGGAGCAGGTCTCTCTGCCAGGGACCGTCCTATGGGGGCCCCTCTGTGGGGCAGTGGGGTTGGCCAGGGTTAGTTGGAGGCATGGGGCAACCCCAGGAAGTTCCTCCAGGCGGACTCAGTGGCATCCGCTATGAGAGGCGTGATACATGTCCCCATGTGAACAGGCTGAAAGCCGAGATGAAACAGCGCTGGGCGTCTGCTGCCGGCGGGACGGGACAGGGGTGCGTGCGCACCGTGTCTTGGCTCCAGCCTGGCAGTAGCAGGGGCTGATCATGCAGATGAGTGGCCCATCGTAGCCTTGGCTCCGCACTGGCTCCCACCCTGGGGTTCTCACTGTGGACGCAGGCCAGTGTCGGTCTTTCCTTTTTCCTTTTTATTTTTTTTTTTGAGATGGAATCTTGCTCTGTCACCCAGGCTGGAGTGCACTGGCACGATCTTGGCTCACTGCAGCCTCGCCTCCTGGGTTCAAGTGATTCTCCTGCCTTAGCCTCCCGAGTAGCTGGGATTACAGGTACCCGCCACCATGCCTGGCTAATTTTTGTACTTTCTGTAGAGACGGGGTTTCACCATATTGGCCAGGGTGGTCTCGAACTCCTGACCTTGTGATCCACCTGCCTCAGCCTTCCAAACTGCTGGAATTACAGGCATGAGCCACCACGCCTTTCTTTCTATATCCAAGTGCTGAGGGACCTGTGCAGGCCTTGGAAATGAACAAGCCAGTCTCAGCCCGTCGGGAGACCCAGGAACGGTGAGGACCACAGGGCTGTGACAAAAGCCATGAGCTGGGTGGCGCAGGTCAGCGGTGTCTGGTGCGGGGACGGCTGAGGCACAGGCAGGGCAAGAATGCAAGGCTGCCGGCAGCACGGCTGGGCCACGTGGCCCACACTGGGTTTGCATTCCCCAGTGGATGAACAAAGGCAGATCCCAGGGCCCGGTGGAGGACCAGGAGCTCCCCCCCAGAGTTGCCGAGTTTCTGGCTGCCAAGGAGTTGCCGTTGGAGGTGATTCCCTTAAGCCGCACACAGGGGCCTTCAAACCACAACCCCAGCCATGGTCCAGCCTTCCTCCCCTTCCTAGGGAGGGAACCCTCTACCTCCAGGCTGCTCTTCCAGGATCTCCATTTCTAGGACCTGCTCTGTCCAGGGGCTGAAGTCCAAGGCCTCACTGGAGGCTAAGAAGGGGCGGGGGGCAAGGTCCTGGGGTTGCCCCATGGGGAGCCATCACCCCCCCGGCAGTCATACACTCTGCAGGGACAGCTGCAAGGGGCAGGCTCAAGGGGAAGAGCTCCCACTGGAACCCATGCAGGGGCAGGGAGCAGAAAGGGGGAGGCTCCTCAGGCTGCCCATTAGGGAGCAGAGTTGGCTATGTCCTCACTGCATGTGAGCCGAAAGGGACCAGACATCCCCCTGAACAGACCACATTTTGAGGCCCTACTTTCAAGGGCCACTGCCTCCATGCAGCCCTCTCTGACTGCCACGGTGGAATGAACCCTTCCTTCCCCAGGACATTCCTTCACAATGACATTTGTCACACTGGACTGTCACCCTCTGGTCCGTGTCTGTGTCCCTAATTGAGCTGTGAGTCCCTACAGGGCAAGGCCTGGGTCTACTCCACCACTGGGCCCCCAGAGGTCACCTGGGCCTGACATGGAGAGAGCACTGACATGGACGGAGCTTGTTCAACCCCACATTACTATGACAGGGATAGCGAGGCCAGAGAGGAAACCCTGTGTCTGCAGCCACATGGGAACTGCAGGTCAGGGCCTCGGACTCCCAGCCTAGAGCTCAGTGCCTGTCCCTGAGGCCTGGAGAGGCCAGACAGGGCTGGTAAGGTGGAAAGGGATGCTGGGCTCCTAGGTGGGGCCTCCCAGGGCTGCCCTCTGCCTCTTCTGCTGTGAGGGCTGGCAGACCTGGCTGCCCCTGCGGGAGGGCTGGCAGACCTGGCTGCTCTGGGCAGAGCTCTACTCAAGCCACACAAAGCTCCCTTCTCCAAGAGGCCCGGCTCCCCTGGGCCAGAGCTGGTGGGAAGCCCAGGCACTGCCGGAATGTGCGGTGTCAGGAGAGGGGCGTGGGCGGGCATCTTCCTCAGGTGCCAAAAGCTCACAGCTCTGTCCTGCCAGCCTGGATGCTGCCTCCTCCAGGAAGCCGTCCCAGACCTCCCGTGTCTCCCCAGCTGTCTGATGGTTCTCAGAGCCTTTCTAGTGTTCCTGTCTTGGCTGGCCCCACTCAACGGGTGCAGTGGAGGTCAGGAAGGACCACGACATGCAGCTCCAGGCTCAGCCAAAACATGAAAGGCCGCTGGGCCCGTGTCCTCCTCTGGACTGGGCTAACAGCCCTTCTTTGGAGGGTCAGAGCGGGGCCTTGAGGAGGAGCCTGGGGCAGCAGAGTGAAGAGTTGGGAGCCAGTGGCCTGCTTGGCTCTGCCACGGAGCAGCCATGTGGCCCAGGCGGGACACCGTGACTCACCTCCCCCATATTCAGCGGTGCTAACAATGGTGGCTTCTGCATGGGATTGCGGAAATCACATGAGTGAGTAGATGTGAAACCCTCGGGACAGTGCAGCAGAGAGGACGCACATGCCCAGTGTCCAGCGCACAGGTGCTCAACACACGGGCACAGTGCAGGCCTGATCCCAGCACAGGGCCAGGAGCTCGGCACAGCCTGAGCAAAGCAGCCTCCGCGGAGCTGAGCACCCCCCTCGCCGGACCCTGCTCCCAGGACAGCTCCTTCTTGCAAGGACCACACCTGTGCTGCTGCCTGAGGCTCTCGGCCACAGGGAGCCCAAGCAGCACAGTGAGGCTGGCGGGGACCTCAGGGCCTTGAGAAGGCCGAAGCGTGTGTGCCCTAAGGCCAGGCAGACCTGGGCTTGAGTTCCACCTTCACCCCTGACGTGCACTGTAGCCTTGGGCAAATCACCAATCATCGATGCCCTCCCACTTAGGAACAATGACCCCGAAGACCCCAGCTGGTGGTTGTGAGCTCAAAGAGGAAACTCAGCTGAGTCCCCCATGGCCAGGCTCAGCTTGGGGATCCCTCCAGAGCACGGCTCCTGTCCACTCCTCTATGAGCCTCGGTGACCTCAGCCCTAACAAACTTCTCCTCCGACACCCAAAGACCTGAACAGGGGCTCTCCCAGGCCGTGGGGACAGGACTCACTGTGGCCGGAAGGCCCTGTCGGCAGGGAGGGGAAGCAGGGACCTTCTCCCTGACATCTTGCAGCCCTCCTGGGCTCCAGCAAGTTTGAGGGGCAGACTCTCTCCCAGGGTCCCCTCTGGGTAGGGGTCCCAGCCCTGCTGCCCTGAGGCTATCTGTGGCCCTTCCAAGCCCTCCAGACCAGAGAGCCACACCTTGCACCCAGAGCCCCACCATCATGAGGCCCCGCAGTCCAGCAGCCAGCCGACACCCAGCAGGGCCCAGAGCAGCCGCCATGGGGCCGGAACTCACCCTCATAGAAGCGGATCTTGTCCCGAAGGATCACCATGCCTTTGGTCAGCAGCTGGTTCTGAAGGTAAACACAAAGGGGCTGTCACCACCCCTGTGGGTGGGCGCCCTGGGGTGTCCTGGCCGGCAGGGCCCCCAAGAGTCCATCCATCAGTGAGCAGCTGAGGCTTAAAGTGGGAGGAGACTCAGCGAGTTCCCGCAGCTCACCTGCTGCAGGGCCTGAGTGTCAGCTCACCCAGGGGGCAGCAACTGACCCAACCCAGGGTTGTCATGAGACGGGAGGTGGCCACAGGGACATCCCATGAGGTGGGCAGATCCTAGAGCCCCTTGCGCTGGGCTCAGCTGGGCAGGAGGATGCCTGGCATGTCCCACAGTGAAGAAAGGACTTTACAGCAAAAGAGGACTCTGATTACCTAAGGCTGGGCCCACCAGCTGCCATCCCACCTCAGGGACCCTGTGCACACTGCCTGGGGCATCTTGGCTGAGAATCATGTGTGTGGTCTCAGCAATCCAAATGTCCAGCAATGAAATAATGGACCACAAAATGCGGCCCATCCACGTCAAAAAAAATGAAGCACTGACTTGTGCTCCAACGAGAAAGAACTTGGTGCCAAGTGAAAGAGTCCAGACAAAAGTCCACACGCCGTGTGGTGTCACTGATAGGAAATGTACAGAACTGGCCGGGTGCGGTGGCTCACAATCCCAGCAATTTGGGAGGCCGAGGTGGGCAGATCACCTGAGGCTGCAAGTTTGAGACTAGACCGTGAACAACATGAACAAACCCGTCTCTACTAAAAACCTAAAATCAGCCGGGTGTGGTGGCACACGCCTGTAATCCCAGTCACCTGGGAGGCTGAGGCAGGAGAACTGCTTGAACTTGGGAGGTGGAGATGGTTGTGGTGGCCGAGATTATACCACTGCACTCCAGCCTGGGTGACAAGAGCAAAACTCCCAGCTCAAAAAAAAAAAGAAATGGGCCGGGCACGGTGACTCACGCCTGTAATCCCAGCACTTTGGGAGGCCGAGGCGGGTGGATCACTAGGTCAAGAGATCAAGACCATCCCGGTCAACATGGTGAAACCCCGTCTCTACTAAAAATGCAAAAATTAGCTGGGCATGGTGGCGCGCGCCTGTAATCCCAGCTACTCGGGAGGCTGAGGCAGGAGAACTGCCTGAACCCAGGAGGCGGAGGTTGCGGTGAGCCGAGATCGCGCCATTGCACTCCAGCCTGGGTAACAAGAGCGAAACTCCGTCTCAAAAAAAAAAAAAAGAAATGTACAGAATTGACAAATCCAGAGACAGACTGTGGATGAGCGGTTGCCTCGTGCTAAGCGGGGGGTAAGGGGAAAGACTAGTCAGGGGTGGTGACACGTGCCTGTGGTCCTGGTTACTCAGCAGGAGGACCTCTAGAGACCGGGAGGCGGAGGCGCAGTGAGCCATCATCACACCACTGCCCTACAGCCTGGGCGACAGAGCGAGACCTTGTCTCAAAAGACACAACAACTAAAACCCATTAAATTGTACACTTTAAGGCCAGGCGCCGTGGCTCACACCTGTAATCCCAGTACTTTGGGAGGCTGAAGTGGGCGGATTGCCTTGAGGTTAGGAGTTCGAGATTGGCCTGGCCAACGTGGCGAAATCCTGTCGCTACAAAAATACAAAAATTAGCTGGGCATAATGGTGGGTGCCTGTAATCCCAGCACCTGGGGAGGCTGAGACAGGAGAATTGCTTGAACCCCGGAGGCGGAGGTTGCAGTGAACTGAGATCAGGCTGTTGCATTCCAGCCTGGGCAACAGAGCATACCTTATCATTTAACCTCCACAACAATCCATGTGGCTACACAGGGAACCAGGCAGGTCCTTGGAACCACAGGAAGACAGCAGAAGAGCCGGCGTACCACATCCCCGGGGCACAGGCGAACCCCGGTGCTCTCTGGCCGGCTCATGAGGCAGGCCCAGCCTGGCTGGAGCTAGATCCACCTACCTGCAGGTACTCCGTGAAGAAGGACCCCAACTCTGTCTTCAGCAGCTGCCTGTGGGTGGGAGGGGAGACAAGAGTGAGTTTCAGACCCCATGGCACCAGATGGGGGACCCAGGCGACTGGGGTAGGGGCCTCCTGGGCAGCAGGAGACCAGCCTGCTCAGCCCAAAAACATGGGGAGTGGATAAGTCCCACCCATCCAGACCTGCAGGGGCTGGGTCACACATCCTGGGCCTCCACGGGACACAGCCACAGCTCATCAACTAGGTCCCTGCATCCCTTTCACAGCAGAGGAAGCCAAGGGGTCCTTAGAGGGAAAACAGTGGCCTCTGCGTCTCATACCTTCTGGAGAGATACCTGGCGGGGCTGGGCCTGCAACGCTTGGTTTGCTCCCGCCTTCCACCTGCCCAAATCCCCGATGCCAAAGGCTCCTCCTCTCTCCCCCTGCAGAGCTTCTTCCCAAGCGTCTCCTCTTTATTCCAGCCAAGCTCATTCAGTCACCAACCCAGCTGCAGGCATGAACTGGAGCTCCCCTTTTACAGCAGGGGAGGTGAGAGAGGCTCACAGAGGTCAAGAGACCAGACCAGGGCCACATGGGACATGCCAGAGCTGAGATCTGAACCTTGTCCTTTACAGTCAATGCTGACAATTCCTCCTTCCCTCCCTGCACACCTCCAGGGCCTGAGAGAACGGGAGCATCACATTCCACACCAGCCAGGCTGAAAGCACACGGGCACTGTCGGCGAGGAAGCCCTCAACATGACTCCCGACAGTCAATACACCAGAAATCTTACCTCCACCTCCCAGGTTCAAGTGATTCTCCTGCCTCAGCCTCCCGAGTAGCTGGGACTACAGGTGTGCGCCACCGGCACGGCTAATTTTTGTATTTTTTAGTAGAGATGGGGGTTTCACCAAGTTGGCCAGGCCGGTCTGGAACTCCTGACCTCAGGTGATCCACCTGCCTTGGCCTCCCAAAGTACTGGAATTACAGGCGTGAGCCACCGCACCTGGCCCCAGCGTTTAAAATTACAGTGCACTAAATATTCATTTTCTCATACAGTCTTTCATTTCTCTCTGGTTATAACCCACAGTAAAACAGCTTTCAACATTCTGACAAAAGTTTTGGCCGCTGACAAAACCCTTGTCATTTAATCTGTACTAAATAAATGTGAGCTTGGCTGGCAGATGAGGGCGCGGCTGCTATACAACCCTTTCAGTCAGCGGCCTGGCCTCCTGGTCCACTCTTTCACTGAATACCGGAGCTGGAGTCTGTTACTCATCAGTCACGCAGCTGGGGTCTGCAGGACGGACCCTGGCAGGGCGTCTGACCCACACACCCAAGCGTGCACAAGGAATGAATAACGTACACTGACTCAGATCTCTGGCCTGTCGGTACAGCTACGGGGCTCTACTGTTGGGCCCAGTCTTCATTTGCATAGGAGTATAACTTTATAACTTCACTTCAGCTTCTGATTGGTCACTTTCTGCACCAATCAGACTGACTGCAGGCCACTACTTCATTTACATAGGGTGTATACCAAGCCAGCACTGGGAAACCTCTAGAGGGTATTTAAACCCCAGAAAATTCTGCAACCAGGCCCTTGAGCTGCTTGCTCCGGCTGCTCCTACTCTGTGGAGGGTGCTTTCCTTTTTAAGACATCTCTGCTTTTGCTGCTTAATTATTTTCTTGCTTTCTTTTTTTTTTTTTGAGGCGGAGTTTCGCTCTTGCTACCCAGGCTGGAGTGCAATGGCGCGATCTCGGCTCACCGCAACCTCCGCCTCCTGGGTTCAGGCAATTCTCCTGCCTCAGCCTCCCGAGTAGCTGGGATTACAGGCACGCGCCACCACGCCCAGCTAATTTTCGTATTTTTAGTAGAGACGGGGTTTCACCATGTTGACCAGGATGGTCTCGATCTCTTGACCTTGTGATCCACCCGCCTCGGCCTCCCAAAGTGCTGGGATTACAGGCGTGAGCCATTGCGCCCGGCCATTTTCTTGGTTCTTTGTCTGTTTTGTCCAATTCTTTGTTCAAAGTGCCAAGAACCCGGACACCAGCACTTGGAATGCCCTCATTCCTGACCTGTGAGACCCCTTCCAACTCCAGCCACACAAAAGCCCTACAAGATGGGAACCATGTTCATTCCAGAGATGGGGAGACTGAGGCTCTGGGAGAGTACTGATGAAATCAAAGGGTGGACTGGGGAACCCAAGGTTGGAGCCCTAGTCCTGAGCATTAAAAACAGGTATCCTGGCCAGGCGCGGTGGCTCACGCCTGTAATCCCAGCACTTCGGGAGGCCGAGGTGGGTGGAACACAAGGTCAAGAGATCGAGACCAACCTGGTCAACATGGTGAAACCCCGTCTCCACTAAAAATACAAAAAATTAGCTGGGCATGGTGGCGCGTGCCTGTAATCCCAGCTACTCAGGAGGCTGAGGCAGGAGAATTGCCTGAACCCAGGAGGCAGAGGTTGCAGTGAGCCGAGATCGCATCATTGCACTCCAGCCTGGGTAACAAGAGCGAAACTCCGTCTCAAAAAAAAAAAAAAAAGAAAAACAGGTATCTTTCCTATAGGACATGAGGAGAGGGCTTGCCCAGTCCAGCATTGTGGGAAACTTAAAAGTCAAGTAGTTTAAATACAGCACCTCTGCCGTGAACATGAGACGTGCTGCTGACAGGCTGCAGGCATGGCGGCGTGGCCTGAGCTGAGCTGAACACAGGCTGGGACTATACCTTAAGGGAAACCCCAAGCCAGCCCAATGCCTGCTGGGAATAAAGAGAACACCATGCCAGGCAGGGAGAAGAGGGGCTGTGGGTGTCCCCAGATCACAGGAGGGGAGCCCAGGGGATGAAGCTGCAGCAGATCCCAGGCCCCAGGGGCTAGCAGGTCACAGAGGGGACAGCCCGGGTGTCACCTGGGATGTCAGCCTCAAGAGAGACAGCTGTGGGGTCAGAAGGCAGAGGCTGGGACGCCCATTCACAGGGTTTGCTGCTTCCTGGGAGCAGCTGAGCCAGCAGGACCTGGTGCTAGGAGCCAGCAGGAGAGGCCTTGTAGGGACCGGAGCAGGTGGCCGAGCTCCTGTGCACGCTTCAGATGCACGCTTCTCATGGTCTAAGGCAGACCAGTATCAGCCACATGGGACGCTGGAAGAGAGGCTGCCCCAATGGACACCCTGGCACAACACAGGTGGCAACAGCAGCCCAGGCCACTGAGCACGGGGGGAACGGCCTTCATAACTGAGCACAACCAGGGTGGCTGGGGCCTTAGATTCCATCTAAGAGGGTGGGTCACATCATGACATTGTTAGGGATAATGTTATCCAAAGCCATCAAGATAAAAAGAGGAGGCTTGTGGGCTGGGCACAGTGGCTCATGCCTATAATCCCAGAACTTTGGGAGGTCCCAGCAGGCAGATCACCTGAGGTCAGGAGTTCAAGACCAACCTGACCAACATGGAAAGACCTTGTCTCTACTAAAAATACAAAATTGGCTGGGCGTGGTGGCCTGTAATCCAAGCACTTTGGAGGCCAAGGTGGGAGGATCACCTGAGGTCGGGAGTTCAAGACCAGCCTGACCAACATGGTGAAACCCTGTCCCCAAAAAAAAAAAAATGAAATTACCTGGGTGTGGTGGTGCATGCCTGTAATCCCAGCTCCTTGGGAGGCTGAGGCAGGAGAATTGCTTAAGAGACGGAGGTTGTGGTGAGCCATGATCGCACCATCGTACTCCAGCCTGGGCAACAAGAGGGAAACTCTGTCTCAGAAAAAAAAAAAAATGCCTGGGTCCTTAAACCAGCAGCCCTCTGGACAGAGAGTGACTTAATCATTAAGATTATTTTCTTGTTTTCTCAGCCAGGTGCAGTGGCTCACACCTATAATCCCAACACTGAGGCCGGAGGATCATTTGAGCCCAGGAGTTTGAGACCAGCTTGGGCAATACAGCAAGACCTCAACTCTACAAAAAAATAAAACAAATTAGCTGGGCTTGGTGCTGGGTACCTGTAGTCCCCACTGCTCAGGAGGCTGAGGTAGGAGAATCACTTGAGCCCACCAATTGCAGGCTGCAGTGAGCTATGTTCACGCCACTGCTCTCCAGCCTGGGCAACAGATTGAGAACTAGTCTCTACTAAAAATACAAAAATTAGCTGGGCACGGTGCGCATGCCTGTAATCCCAGCACTCAGGAGGCTGAGGCGGAAGAATTGCCTGAACCCAGGGGGCGGAGGTTGCGGTGAGCCAAGATCGCACCTTTGCACTGCAGCCTGGGTAACAACAGCAAAACTCTGTCTCCAAAAAAAAAAAAAAAAAAAAGAAAAAAGACTTCCTTTCTTTTTGGAGGCTGAGGTGGGTAGATCACTTGAGGTTGGGAGTTCCAGAGCAGCCTGGCCAACATGATAAAACCCCGTCTCTACTAAAAATATAAATATTAGCCAGGTGTGGTGGCATAAGAATAATTATGCCACACGTGCCCATTTCTGTACCTTAGAAGAAAGCAGGGTGATTGAAGAAGGGATCTAGGAAATTGCTAGACAACTGGACATTATCCAGATGAAAACCTTTTGTGCTTCAGAGGACGCAGGAAGAAAGTGAAAGGACAAGTCAAGGAAAGGAAGGAAAGATTTGCAGACAGTATCTAAGGAGGGTCTAGATCCGGAACCCGGAAAGAGCTCTCCTAGCTCTACAATACAAGACAACCCAACCGAAAAATGGGCAAGGGGTGGGAACAGACAGTTCTCCAAAGGAGATATCTGAATGCCCAATAAACACCCGGAGAGATGCTGTACATCACCAGTCATCAGGAAAACGCAAATCAAAAGCACAAACAGCCGGCGCGGTGGCTCAAGCCTGTAATCCCAGCACTCTGGGAGGCCGAGGCGGGTGGATCACGAGGTCAAGAGATCGAGACCATCCTGGTTAACAAGGTGAAACACCGTCTCTACTAAAAATACAAAAAATTAGCTGGGCGTGGTGGCGCGTGCCCGTAATCCCAGCTACTCAGGAGGCTGAGGCAGGAGAATTGCCTGAACCCAGGAGGCGGAGGTTGCGGTGAGCCGAGATCGCGCCATCGCACTCCAGCCTGGGTAACAAGAGCGAAACTCCGTCTCAGAAAAAAAAAAACAAAAGCACAAACAGATGCCACTTCTCGGAATGAAATTAACAAGTATTGGTGAGAACATGGAGAAACTGAACTCTCACACCCTGCTCAGACTCTGCTAAGTGGGACAGTGAAACAGTGCAGCTGCTGTGGGAAAGGCGAGAGTGACCCAAAAAGACTAACCACAGAATTATCAAGGGAGCTGGCAACTCCACTGCTAGGTAGACGAACCTAAGAGAAATGAGGCCGGGTGTGGTGACTCAGCCCTGTAACCCCAGCACTTTGGGAGGCTGAGGCGGATAGATCACTTGAGGTCAAGAGTTCGAGACCAGCCTGGCCAACACGGGGAAACCCGGTCTCTACCAAAAATATAAAAATTAGCCAGGTGTGGTGATGCATGCCAGTCATCCCAGCTACTGGGGAGACTGAGGCATGAGAATCACTTGAACCCAGGAGATGGAGGTTGCAGTGAGCTGAGATTGCCCCACTGCACTCCAGCCTGGGCCACAGATCAAGACTCAGTTTCTTTTCTTTTTTTGAGACAAAGTTTTGCTCTTGTTGCCCAGGCTGGAGTGCAGTGGCACAATCTCGGCTCACTGCAACCTCCATCTCCTGGGTTCAAGTGATTCTCATGCCTCAGCCTCCTGAGTGGGATTACAGGGGCCTGCCACCACGCCCAGCTAATTTTTTGTATTTTGGTAGAGACAGGGTTTCACTATGTTGTGCAGGCTGGTCTTGAACTCCTGAATGCCACGGCCTCCCAAAGTGCTGGGGTTACAGGGTAAGCCACTACGTGCAAGCTAAAGTCATTTAATTTAATGTGGCCACATTTTTGAGACGAGCCAGGGTAGAGTGGAGGGCTGAAAAACCCAGGGGCCCTGAAGTCAGGGGCCTGATCTCCAGCTCTGTCCACTATTAGCCCTGTGACCTTGATCAATTGCTCTGTGCCTCAGTCTCTTCTCTGTAAAATGGAGGTAACAAGGCGTCCACTCCTCAGTGCTGCATTGAAGAGTGGATGAGTACTTTTTAAATTTATTTTTAAAAAACGTTAATACAGGGCGGGCGCGGTGGCTCACGCCTGTAATCCCAGCACTTTGCGAGGCTGAGGTGGGTGGATCATGAGGTCAGGAGTTCGAGACCAGCCTGACCAACATGTGAAATCCCGTCTCTACTAAAAATACAAAAATCAGCCAGCCATGGTGGTGTGTACCCGTGTAATCTCAGCTACTCAGGAGGCTGAGGCAGGAGAATTGCTGGGAGGTGGAGGTTGCAGTCAGCTGAGATCACGCCATTGCACTCTAGCTTGGCGACAGAACAAGACTCCGTCTCAAAAAAAATAAGAAAGGTTAATACATATTAATAGAGAAGGGGTCTCGCTATGTTGCCCAGGCTGGTCTCAAACTCCTGGCCTCTAGCGATCCCCCAACCTAGGCTTCCCAGAGTGCTGAGATCACAGACATGAACCACTGCATCAGGCCGTGGATGGGTTTGGCGTGGAAACTCCCGATCCAAGGCTAGGACAGGGCAAAGCTTTAGTAAAAACACCTTGCTACTATCAAACATTCCACCACTTAATTCTGAACTGGTTAAAAAGAAGTTGCC